GCAAACCAATTCTCCTCTCATCCGCAGATGGCAACACTTGGTGGTGGAGGAGATACAGGATCTTAAGAGGGAGAGAAATATTGCAAACACAAATATTTCAAAAAGTTGAGCTTTTTACTTCCAATTGATATTAACTAACTTTTGTAGAACATTTTTAATGCTGTTATTAGCACATAGTAGGAGTATCCTATGATGCAGGGAAATGGATCCAGTGGGAATATAAAAGCAAAGCTCAAACAAAGAAAGAAAACTGTGGGGGTGAATGATCCCTAGCAGGTACACAAGAATCCTACCTATCTGACATGGATTTGAAAAATAAGAAAGAAGTTCAATAATGCCTTCTGAATGAAAGAGAGACTCATGCCAGCAACCGTTTGGTCAGCACCAAAACACAGGGGACTACTGGGCATGAGTTAAATTATTACTGCTGCAAAAACATAAAGTATGAGCAGCCCTTTTTTTTTTTTTTTTTTTTTTACATGCTGTGCTTATTTTCTCCTTTTATCAGTGATTTACTGGCCCAGATTTTGGTAAAAATACCAATGAGAAAAGCCAAGAACAATCCTACTTGAGCAAGAGAAACTACATTAACCTTTCACTGTATAAACACTCCTTTTTTTTTTTTTTTTTTTTTTTTTACATGCTGTGCTTATTTTCTCCTTTTATCAGTGATTTACTGGCCCAGATTTTGGTAAAAATACCAATGAGAAAAGCCAAGAACAATCCTACTTGAGCAAGAGAAACTACATTAAGGGCACATTCAAAAGACATTTAGCTCCTGTTCTGCTTATGTATGAGTGATCCCAGCTTGATTTCTTTTCTTTCCTTCTTTTTCTTTCTTTCTCTCTCACTCTTTCTTTCTCTCTCCCTATTTCTCTTTCTTACCACCGAGTAGCTCAGACTTTTTAAATCTGAAGAAATGTTAATAGAAGTTGACAGTAGGAAATGATCTGATGGAATCAAGTGAAGCATGTGGATGGGGAATCACCACTGTAGCATCCTACAAACTTTGAATAAGTGAAAAGGGGACTAAACTTGGCCTCACCTTCTCCTCACAACAGTATACAAGATGTATCTCACTCAAATTTATAATCACTGTCCCTTCATAAAAACTGGGTCATTGTGAGCATGTCCAGACTGCAAGTACCCCTTATTTGTACCATGACATAGAGAATGTAAAAGGTTGGGATTTGAGATTGCTGAGTACCTTCAGCCAAAACAAGAACAACTGTAATTTTCATTAGACAGCAAAAATAAGTTAAGCGTAAGAAACTGGGTTCAGTTTGGGGTAAATCTGATCTAGTTTGTACATGTTTTAGCTGTTAAAATAATATAAACTTGCATTTGAGAATGTGGCCATGTCACATGTAGAATAGCACCAGTAAGTGGATTTTTTTAAACTGAATGATGTATATATGGAATCTCAACATTTTTCTTGAAGTGGCTGAGTGATTTATCTCAACAGATTTCTGCACTTGGGATTTTCTTTACTCAAAGATGCTCAAAGGAAGCAGTTTAATGCAAACTCTCAATATGTCACATTTTGGCAGTGATTGCTTAATGCAGCAGTGCACAAATGAATTGCTCCACTGCATCCTCTGATCATGAATATGAATCGGAGTACTATAAACTGAACTCAATGTACTGATAAGTGACTGCATCTGATTGTGCCAGCAGCCAGATGATTTTCTCATTAATGAGCTGAACTATTAAAAGATGGAAGAACATGAAGCCAAGCCAGCATTGCCTGAGCCTCTTTGCTGACATTTTTCCAGGCCTACCAGAAAGCTTTGCCAACCAGTGAAGAAAAATTCATCCCAAAAAATGTTTTATGAATGAAGACACATAAAAGCTTCAAGGCTCAAATTCTGTTTCAGATTACATGGATGTGACTCCCTTGTAGTTGCAGTGTTTCTGTTTTAATATGGAACAATCCAGATTTTGATATTAAGGAATTACAGTCCTCCTTTGCTTTTCAGCCTCTGCTATTTGTGTATAGCCCGTGGCTGCTAGGAAAAGACAGACAACCTAAGACATTCAACTAAGCAGAGCTTCTAAATTCGTTAAACTGAGTGACACAGATTTGTGGAAGGCATGTAGCAAACACATCCTCTGCAATAACAATAATCTGTTAGAAATATTTTTAATTTGGATATTTTCAGAGTGTTATTCAGTGTCAAGCACTGATGTATAAAAATCCATTATTGTTTGCAAGCATCACCATGTTGCTTTGCAGTTTAAATATGGCCCCATCTCAGTTGGAAGCACCTTCAGTACAAGTCCAGAATGAGGTATGTAAATCACTTGGATCTTTTCTCCTACAGAAATGTGACATGTGGCTAAAAAAAAAAAAATTAAGAAAAATAGAAAAGTAAAGAGCAGGTCTGCAGGCACCACCACTGCTACGGCAAATCTGCCTCTAGAGGGCATTGCAAGCCAAATGTTTTCCCTGACAAGTGTTGAGAACCTCTGGAATCAGCCCAGAAGGCAGTCCTTAAATTGCCTAAATTAAAAGATTTTGCTGTGTTTACAACATCAGCTATGTAGCAGTCAAAAACCCTATTGGGCAGCAACAGAGAAGGATCTTCAATCCACTGAGCAATAGAAAATATTTTTGGTAAGAATAGATGTTACCAGACATTTTCTAATATACCTGAAGCCTCTCAGGACAAGAGAGGCTGTGAGCCAATTTTGGCACATAACTGTTCCCTTTTAATGACTTTGCTTTCATCCTTGTACGAGTGCTGCCATCCCCACAGTGGCTGAATCCAAAGATCATTCACTGGTCATTAGCAAGGAGGTGCAAAGAGGCTTTGAATGCTTAGCACCTGGAATGTAGGCCAGTGCATCTGATACTAACCAAATAGCATTATTATTTGACTCTCTCAAGATCTATGATCTGTAAAAATTGCTCAGACATAATTATGTTCCAGGCTTTTTGCATGTAAGACAAAAATATCTAAGTGACACATCATGAGGTGGTAGGGAGCTGGTAGGATGGGCTCTTCCCAGTATGGGCTGTTTTCTGAAGGACTTATTGAGCCTCTGCAGACATGCAGAAGGAAATATCCAAACTTTTTTTTTTCTCCTCTGTACACGTGAACTAAATCAGTTCAAATTACAAAAACTACTTTTCTGCTGCTGGAAACCAAGGAACATTCTTGTCTTGCTGCATGCTGAAGGCAATATTTTGTCATTGCAGAGAACAGCAATCAGGTCCTTTGCTATAGTTTGGCTATGGATGTTAAACTATTCACATTTGTTCAACTATAATCAACTGAAATACATTCAATACATTCTTCTTTTTCTGAAGACTGATATTTGTCTATTTTCCCTACGATGACAGGATTCTTTTTGATTTTTAGGTACCACTGTGAGAGTTTTGCTAAATGTCATAGCGAACTACATGCCTAAGAGGCTACAAGTCTTGCAGACTCTTCAAGGTCCAGGAGTCCCTTACAAATTTTCTGAGTGCTCAGCTCATTTCCTGGTGCCTTATTTCCAGGTGCCATTCTGTGTGTTAAGATTTTGTACAGTGAGAATAGATATCAGCATCCCTTAAACGGCAGAAACATCTTCTCTGAAACATGTAGCGTGCTATAAAACAACAATTTTAACAATAAGGAAAACTCAGAGTATATAAAATAGGAAGAAAGTTATACAGGAGTAAAGTAAAACCACTTACACAATCAGTATTTTTACTGGCAGTTGGTTACGCAACAATAGCATCAAAATTCTTCCTGTCTTGTTCATTATATTACTGCAGTGAATAGAAATATCAAAACTTCAGCTTTAATGGGCTTTGGCTGAAACTGTAAGTTTGCCACTTGTAAACATTTTGATTTAAGGAAGGAGGCAGAAAAAATGGTCCCTCTAGAATAATTATCAAATGGTTTGTGTAAATGTAAATAAATGCTTGGTGCACTTAATGAGAAATGAAAGGACTCTGGGATTATACTGTGGCTACACAAAATAGTTTGGATGCTATATATCCATGAATGACCCTAAATTCTGTTTGAACTCCAGATACAGAATATTGGATTCCTTGTGAAATGAAACTTGAAAAAGACACCCAAAATCCAAACCTCACTTTGTGGATGTTTATTTGTCGAATAAAGGAAACAGATCTGGTTTTGTGTAAGAACATTTCTGGTTATCTGCTTAGAAACAGAAAAGTTTTGAGCTTTTTTTTGGCAAGAGGAGGAAAAGCGTGTATGTATCAAACAATTCCCATTGGAAGCATTGGGTTTTATCTCCCTCTGTGCTCTGGCCCCTCAGCCATGAGCACTGCCACCCTGCAGTCCAGGCTGCATGGGAGGCTGTGCTTTGTCCTGGGGGCAGAGACACTGAAAGGAAGAAAGAGAAAGAAAGATTAATCTGATAAAGGCATTGCCATTTCTAATCGGACTGATGGGAAACTGTGGTATGAAGTTAAAGAGGCAACGCAGGGTGAATTACTGTGATGAGCTACCTTAAAGCTGAAGCAATCAAATAGATAGCTCTCACATATAAAAATTACTGTGCCATCTTTATTCATCAACAGTTTTGCACAAGTGTCTCATGTTCAATCCCTTCCAGGAACAACTAAAGCACTCTGATCCATTGCATCAGATTAAATCTTATCTGGGAAACTCAGCCACTGGGGTTGCTGCTTCCCGCTTCCCAGACTTCATTTCTCATAACAGAAATAAACATTTTAAAGATTGAGAATAACAAACTCCAAAAAGTAATACCAGTACAGCACAGTGCCTGCTCTTGCAACATGCTAGAATGGAATTGGAAGGGCTTTTGCTCTGGTGTGTGGTAGCAGTAAAACTTTTTCACATAGCCTGACAGGTGAAAACCTAGAGAAATGAAATTTGTGACTCCTAGTTTATAGAATCAGAGAATGGCTGGAGTTGCAAAGGACCTTTAAGATCATCCAGATCCAACATCCATGCCATGAGCAAGCACACCTTCCATTAGACCAGGTTCAGAAAGTATTAATACAAACACACATGGAAGTTTAATTCACATTTATTGGGGCCATAAGAATCACATTTAAAAAACAGTACTAAAAAGCCTACCCTTGAGTAACAGATAAACAATCAATATTTGATTCAAATATAGTCAAATGATATGAAAAGCAAATATGGTATCACAGAAAATTCAGCATAAAATTCCTGTAAAAATCCACTCACATGATTTTAAGAATTAGCTTGTAATTTGATCTTAAGATATGCTGAGATCTTCCTGTGATGCTGAATTCTTTGAGCTTTTTGAAGTGGATGGGCTCTGAGGATACTCAATATTTTGCAGGAATGAACAGAGGAAACAAGCATAAGTTTTGCGTGCTCAAATGTGTTCTTCTGACCAAGCATCACACAATTTTGTACTCACAGCATATGGGACAAGGAGTTAATGCACAGGTACTGATAAAGACAATTAAATGGAAATAGAAAAACTGACCGAGTAATAAGGTGTATATATGATATCAGAACTTTATTTTTTTAAAACTCAAGTTCTTTCACCCACAGAAATGCTAACAGGATTTAAAATATGTTATCTTCCATTTAATGCCTATCCTGCACTTCTGAAGTCACGAATCAGTCAAGGATACCTAACACTGAAGATGATGAATAACAGTGATGAACCAGATACATTTATAGTTGTGAGGGGAAAAAAAGAGATAAATTTTACACTTTTTTTGTTTTTTAGTGTTAACCTCACTTAAAAATGTGTAATAAATAAATCTGATTCTGAGTATTTCACTTAATGACTCTGATTTTGTATTCTAAATTATTTATACTAAATAAAATACAGTTTTTTTCAGAAATTATTACTTTAAGATAAAACTTTTTTCTAAATTCATTTTTGATAATTCTTGGAAGCCATATTGCCTAAAGTTCAAGCAAAATCAATTAAAACTACTTCAGACACAGTATCCATCACAAAAAGAGTAGTTTATGGAACATTTAGTCAACATACGGCTGTATATTTGCTGAAATGCATTTATTGACTACTTTCGATGTGTCTCCAGGACAATTACAGTATTTGCCCAGTGCTGGAGTAAGTTTTTCCAAACTTTTCGAAGAGAGCAATTGATGAAAACAGTGTTTCAAAGTCCTAAAAAAAAAGAGAAAAAATTATGTTAGGCTTAGGTGCATTTGGCTTTTTTAAAAGGTATTTTAGAGTTCTAAATATTGTCTTCTAGTTACATTTCATTATATAGATAGAACGCAAATTATGTAAAATAGTGACTATTAAATATACATTTTTTACATTATATGAATATTGCCTTGAAGAGGAGCAAAAGAATGGATTTAATTGAAAGCAAATATGTATTTCAAACTCTCAGCAACTAGAAGAACTGCAGAAATTTCCTGCTCTAGAAATTATATTTGCAAAATATAATGGTATACATGGTATACAAAAGTTTATTATCTTCCCTGGAAACCAGGCAGGTTAAAGAAAGCACAAAAGTCTTGCTATATTTAAACTTTTCTACTCTGGTTAACATTGAAATAGAGGTATTAAAACAGCTCCATAGGAAATATTTTCAAAAAATTAATATCTATTAATTAAGCACTAGTTGCAACAAATCGATTAGAAGAAGCAGGGTGATTCCTGAACAAGTTTTTTTTCCCCAAGGTAAATTTCTTGCTTATTACATTCAATTTTTTAGTGCAAATATTTAAAAGTCTAAATTGAATAAGGGAAACACAAGTGAAGCTGTGCCACATAAATTCAGCCAACAAACAAGATAGTAAAACAAAGTGTTCTAAACCATATTTTGATTTGTCTACTTAGTAAAAAATACTCATGGTAAATGATTAGGAAGTCCATGGTATTTAAGATCAAGGTTTTAAAACCTTCTTAATAAAATTATTTCCTTGAACCTGAAGTACTGAGGATAGTATAACAATAGAAAATACTTGGTTTGCTTTAAAATGGTTTTTACTTTTAGAAAGTAACATGCCACAGATGAACTCTCAGCCTTCTAGGATCTGATGATTCATTTTTAAGGAGTTGTTCTGAATATTTTGTACTGTTTTCTATTGCCAACATGTAGCTCTGTGAAAGTGGAAGAAATTGAAACATCTTCATGGAATGTCTGAGGCCATGAGTTAAAGAAAGGGAAAAGTTTTATCTTTTCAACACATTTCCCAACCTGAAAGGTTTCATTTCATCTTTAAAAGAGAATATTTTTTTTTTTAAGGACATGAAACAGAATTATCATTGCCTGGACAATTTGGATTTAGCTACTTCACAGAGCACAGTTCAGCTGTACCTCTATCAATAGAGCACCTCTGACTTCGAGTAGGCTTCATGCAAACACTGACTGGGCCCAACTGCCTTTCATTTGCATTGCACTTTGCCAAACTGAGAACATATAATTTCTTACATCTCGCACTTAAATTTGCTTACTATGATTCCTCCAAATTTCTGGTGCATAAATCTTAAAATAGCAAGGTAGGCCTACATTCAAAATTAAATAATTAAATAATCCATGTGTGGTGTGGAGAGTACTATCCCATTCCTAAAGGATTCACAAGATTTACTTTTTAATGCTTCCCTATGCCTTATATTGGCCAATTTTTTATTCAACAGAAATAGCCTATTTGCATATTTTGATATTAAACTTTTAGAATGGCACAATATTCTAAATTTCAGTGTCTATTCAGCATCACAAGCACCTTCTTACCATAGGAAACTTTGTCCGTATAATTATTCTAATAAATATTATAGTATCTCCAATACAACTGCAAATGGTTTCCTTCTAAAGCGAAGCTAGATATATTTAATTCAGTAAATTAACCAGACTAATTCTGTTCATGGGAATGGAAAAATCAACAGACCAGCTCTAGTTGCTGAGAAAGCAAGCAGATAATCCAGCAATAATTTAGGGTTAAGCAGTAATTCAGAGCAGAACATTTTTTGAAACAGAAAGTATCTCATTAATTTACATGCAGGACAGTTACGTACAGCTTAACAAATTGTGAACAGTTTAGCAAGTGGTGAACTTTGATGAGACAGGGAAATCAGTGAAACCTGTGCACCCCCTATCAGGATAAAATCAGGAATGGGAAGGCTGAGTGTTGCAGAGATCTTTATTTGCTGGAGCAGACGGCTTTTGCTATTAGGATTCCTGGCCAAACAAAAACAATTGGCTGCCAAAATTAGCTCCTTGGGACGATTTAGGAGCCTTTGAAGTGAACAGTGGTTTTGAGCTGGAACTAAGCCCAGGTCCAGCTTCAAACTCAAATCAAAATGACAAAGAGGAAATTTTTTGTGCCACACACCCCCTCAGTGTAAGATTACTTTGGTTTGGCAGCTGTACTGTTTATCTTGTTATTTAAAACTATTCCACTAGATACTCACAACTGAGCATTTAAACAACTGGCTCTGATTATGACGACAGCAGTTATGTTTGACCACATTTAGGGAACATTACAGAGTCTGGTGGATAAATAAAAGCATTCTTGTCTTTAGAGTTATATTAATTAAAGAAATGTAGTATACTAGGTAAAAATTGCATAGCACGCATTTAAATTCTAAATATATTTTGGGAAAAAGATCTTGTTTCTATCTTTTCTGTATTTGAAGATAAAGATTTTAATCAGATTTCAACAGAGAAATAAAGTAAGGCCTGAAATCACCACCTGGCCTTGCAAGATCTACCTCACATCACAAAAGGAAAGGAATTGGAGGCCAGGTTCTTACGTCCATCTAATGGAATGGTGAAATGACCACTGAAAACATGAAGAGAAGCATAGTGATGCACTGCTCATTGATTCTGATGGGAATCATCTTGAATTTAGGCTGTTTGGTACATAGCATAGAAGTTATGAAGTTATGTAAATGATCCTTTTGAAGAACACAGGTTGTGAATGGAGAAAAATAGGCTTCGTCAAAATTATTTTCACCATCAGGTCCTCTCTGTTGGTAGCTCGAATGAACAGACTTACAAATATGAATTCACACATATTGGTGAGCTCAGTCTATAGTTTTGCTCTTGGGAGCACAGGAGCATAGAGCTGAGCTCTATGAATTTTTCCACAATGCATTCTTAAATCATGCCATATAACTCTCAGGATCAGAGAGCTGAAATTCTCAACACTGAGAGCTACTTTGAAGTTCCCAAACAAAGTTGATATAACACTTCCTTTTTAAATTTGTCCAGCTTTGACTCTTTTCACTCTAGTAAATTGTAAGTGACTCAAGTTCAGCTGACAGAGCTTCACAAGACCCTTTCAATGTATTATATACTTGAGCTCATCAGTTCGAAACAACGGAGTCAGAAAAGGTGGCATAAAGCCACCAAAGATTTGTCTCAATCAGCATTCTGATGTCATAGATTAGACTTGCCAAATGGTTACATAGTCTATATTTGGAATGTTATTAAAGCAAATTCCAAAGACATTTTTCATCTGACTATGCAGACTTACATAAATACAGATCACGTACAAATGCTGGCAAATGAACAAGACCTTGTAGACCTTCAGATTGGTTTGGAGGCCCTTGAAAATTACTTCTGTGATATTCTAGAAACAAATTTGTACTAACAGTGTTTCTTTCCAAGCAATTTTGAGAGTACTGTACAATATCCTGTGATATAAAAATGCAGTTAAAAATGAGATAGGAATTACCATTGAGTATCTTCTTGGAAATTTAATCAAGTAGAAAGTAGCTGCCTCAGACAAAGGCAAGAACAGACAAACAGCAGTAGCAGATTGACTCTCAGATTCTAAGGCCAGAGAGCACTCATTTTACCATTTATTCTGAGCTCCTGCATACACACTTAAGGGTAATTTCACTTATCAAATCTCTCAAGTCTATAATAATTATGAAACTGTTAAGTGTGTGATAAACTTGGAACAATAAGCGTACTATAAAGTCATATTATCTGACTTACAGGATAGGATAGTTTTTCCTTTCTCTGTAATTACAAAACTTGTGTTTGCTGAACAAGTAAAGATTTGGTTGCATGAATTGGGACAAAATTTGTGTTAGGCTGTACAAATATGTAACTCCTTCATGGGTTAGTAGAAGCAACTTGTGCAGAAGTTTCAAATATAAATTGCATAATGACAAGCATTCTCTGAAATGTATAGCATTCCATCAACAGCAAATATTCAGAGCAGTGATTCCTCTTCTGAGTCAATCAAAAAATACTAAAGGGACAGTGTATAAATGCATTTATCTCAACCATGGCACCGTGTGCTGTGTAAAAGGCAAACCAATCCATGAAAAGTTTGCATCTCAGAAAAAACTTTTTTGTAGTGCTGGAATTGTATCTGTTGCTCCTATAGGGACATTAGGCCTCTTCTGTTTTTCTCTTTATAGAATACCTATTCTGAATGTAAATTCTGTTAAGAATTAATGGCAGAAGGAATGAAAAACAGCCACAGCTGCTGGAATAATAATTCTATCTTCGTGCTACTGAGTAGAAAAACCAGGAAACAATACTTTGAAACTAATATCCATAAGTACACACCAAGACCTTAGAGGATGGGAAATTCTGTACAAATGTACCTGGAGCAGGAATGTTCTTAGTGTAGGGTAAGCCACTGAGGAACCCTGCTTTCCCACAAAGTCAGGAGACATCCCATGTGCACAGCTCCTTTGGAAACCAGGCAGTACTGCCAAGTGTCACTGCTCAGCCCTCGTTCACAGCCCCACCTGCTAAACACTAAATGGTCATATTTAAGAGTTTCCTATGATCCTAATGCTTGTAATAGTCAAATAAAGTTTTAAATGGAGCTGTCATAGTAAGCCTCCTGATCTGCTAATATCCACAGAGGTCTCTAACAAGGAAGCAAACCAGAAACAGCAAGCTGTTAGACAAGTAAAATGTTGATCCAGCTAACTTTTATTCTCAACAAATTTATCAATACTGGTTAACAATACTTCCAACTAGTACAGGGCCCTCTGACATGATAAAATGAGTGTAACAACCCATTCTGTCAATACAACACAAATGTCATTTCAAGTACTCAAAACCCACTAAGCTACCCTAAAAAAGATTGATTTATCTGCTCCAGTGTTTCTTTGGGGCAAACTTTTCTCACAACTGAAACCAATTAGTGGGCCTGGCACTTGTAGTGCAAAATGTAGGTCAGCAT